GTGGGAATTTGGGGAATTATAAATTCCCTTTTTTTTCCAATATAAGACACATCCCCCCCCCCAAAGTGGGTGGAAATGTCTGTCTGTCTTATAGAGTGAATATTGCGATGGGGGGAGGGGTGTTGGTATGGCCGCGGCATTCGCCACTGCTGCCTGTCACTTCTGCTGCCGTTCGCCACCACTGAGGAACACTGGCGCCTTCGCTGACAAGCAGCTGATTGGCAGTTGGATCGGCCTCCTGGAATACCGCCGATCAGCTGTTCTAGGCGACGGTAAAAGGTGGCAGCGATTCCCACAGCCTAGAATAGCTGATCGGTGGGATTCTGGGAGGCCGATCCAACCACCAATCAGTTACTGGCAGCGAAGGCTCCAGTGCTCCCCAGTAGCAGCAGCACCTCAGCTCAGTTGACTGGTGGTGGGCGCAACGGAGTGGAGCCCTGATGAGCCATGTGCTGTGGCTGTGATAACATGCTGAAGCTGACCAGGCTGTTTGCTGCAAGGACACTACCGGATGGATGCTGGGAGGCAGATTTTTTTTCTGGTTTTCCTCCTCTAAAGCTAATGTGTGTCTTATGGTCTGGTGCGTCTTATAGTGTGAAAAATATGGTAATCCATCTACTGGGAGTCTAGGTTGGGGAAGTCTATCCTAGGTTGTGCAATATTAAATTTTAAATATTCTCCATGTAAGAAATCTATGTAACTTGGGGAAAAATAGCTACCTCAAATTTCAAGGTTGTTTGATAACAATAATTACATGTATTACTAAATCATTACTAAGTCAATATTTACTCATCCCTAATAAGAAGGAATTGAGCTGGCAAGAATGAAACTAGTTCACAACTGAATCATTGGATATTTAATATCTCACCATGTCTCAGTTAAGGATTTTTAGAAACCTTACTCTGTTAGCCTTATTAATACTTTCATTACATTGCAATATGACCAAGAAAAAAACAAGGAAAAAAAAACATTTTAAAAGCCAGAAAGTAGATTAAAAAAAAAAAGAATACTCACCATAGGGTCACAGTAAATTAAGAATTGCAGGCAAAATAGCAACGAAGATCCAGAGAAAGGCTCAAAAATGTAATCTTCCCAATAACTTAAATGTTAATCAAAGCACTTATAAGCAAAGGTTACCTGGATTTTTTCTGTACTTGTGGGCTGCAGGTGTCTGTACAACACTTTTTTCACGACGTCAAGGGATAAGCAAGTGACAACTATGATGATTATGGCAAACCAAGCAGAGCCGCTGGACAGCAACTGAACAAATACGAAGTACAAGTCTTGGGCGTGCAAAAACGGCCTGGAAGGATAAAGGAGACAAGAAAATGGAAATTAACCAGCAGCAAGGGAAAAACATTTAGGTCAGTGGTCCCCAACCTATGTGGCTCGGTGGCCTGGCTGGGAAGGGGGACCAGAGGGGAACAGGGCTGTGGATGTGGCGAGCTGGTGTGCGCACGCAGGTGTGCCAGCCAGCCACTTGTGTCATTGGAGCTGCGTGCGAACGTTGGCCTGCTGCTTGTGTCAGTGGAGCTGTGTGCATGCGCTGGTCTGCCTCTTGCCTGGCCCGGTTTCTGAATAGGCCACAGCCCAGTGGTGGGCTGCGGCCTGGGGGTTGGGGGTGCCCGATTTAGATGAATACTCTTAAGAACAGTAGGAAATATTAAGGATTGAAAAAGGAGGAAACCATAAGTAGGGGTGTCCTCAACTTGCAACCATTAATTTAGTGATTGTTACAATGGAATTTAACAAAGTGACTTGTGATTGTTTTTTACATCAGGTGATCCCCATGGTCAGGTGATCAAAATCCAGACACTTGGCAACTGCTTCATATTTATGACCGTTGCTGTGTCTCAGGGTCACTTGGTCATGTTTTGGGATCTTCCAGCAAGCAAAGTCAATGGGGAAGCTGGGTTCATTTTACTGCTGTGTTACTAACTCAACAACAGCAATGGTTCACTTAACCACTGGCGCAACAAAGGTCGTAAAATGGGGCAAAACTCACTTAAGAACTGTCTGGCTTAGCAATGGAAATTCTGGCTCAACTGTGGCCGTTAAGTCGAGGACTACTTGCTATCTCCCAGGGAATGAATTCCAAAAATACAAAATCCATAATAGAGAAAGCCCTGTCCCTAGTATCCACCAGCCTCATGGCTTTGGGCCTAGAGAATATCTCTTCTAACACGGATCTCAAAATCTGGGCAGGTTCATTGCAGCAAATATTCAACTTTGGCTGGTCATATGAAACTGTGCAGACAGGTCTCTTTAGAACAGGGGTTTCCAACCCTTGGCGACTTTAAGACTTGTGGACTTCAACTCCCAGAGTTCCTCAGCCAGCTTTGCTCTACAAGTCTTAAAGTCGCCAAGGTTGGAGACTCCTGCTTTAGAACATTGAAGGGAGATAATGAGGAAACTTAAGATCTACAGATAGTGATAATAATAGTAGTAATAATCAGCGGTCAACTTTCTCTGATGGAAGCAGTGGCATATGACTTTTTGACCTCAAGAGACGTAACTTTGCATCCCTAAGTAATCAATGAATGTAGCTCCAATTCTTTTGAAGTTTAAAAGGCCGACTGTGATTTAGAAACAAATGAGGCAAACCTTTTGAGTTGAGGATCTAAAGTAAAAAATGAACAGAAGTACATTCCAAATACTGTACATTCTTATTGTTAATATTGTCCCCACGTAAATCGATAATTGTAGCTTGCATTTTGAAAGGCCATGTCAACGTGCAGTTAAGCCCTATCAGCTTTTTATCCTTTACTAATGTGGCAGATTTTTTTTTTTGATTTCATATATTTGAAAAATGGGACACTGAAATATTCAATTATTTATTTGTTCCTTAAATATATTTCCTTCCTTTCCTCCCAAAAGAAAATACATATGTAAATGAGAGTTGCATTCTCAGGTGCTTGGTACGTTCTGACTTCTGGTTGTTTGCTTGTAGATGTTTCATTACCCAACTAGGTAACATCATCAATGCTAGTAAGATTGGGGTTTGTTCTCTCTTTATAGACAGTAGTTTGCCTGTGTAAAAAATAGCACTGATTGGCGTGATCATCCATCTCTGATACTATGTCAAATTCTAGTTTAGTAGAATTAAAAAAAAACCTCAGGTTTGGGCAACAAAGAAGGGACATTATAGAATAACAAAGCCCACTTAAATGGATAATGGACAGACGGATAATATGACAGTATTTCTATTTTTTATTCTATTTTTTTCATCTTGTGTGCCAGATTGCTGGTTTAGCTGCTCAGAGAAATGCAGCAATGCAAGTTCTGTTTTTGTATACATACATGCACCACTGGTCACAGCCTGCTTACAGGTCAAAACATGGTTAATTACTTACCAGATTATCCCGCCATAGAATAAGGAAAAGATGAAGTAAAACCCAATGGACCCCCAAGTAACAAAATGATTTATCCAAGTCCAAAAGTGAGTCTCTATTGCCATCTAAGCACAAAGAAAGAAAGAAAAAGAAAAAAATGTATCTCTTAATAAATAGGTAATTACAAAGTTAAAGCCTGTGAAAACATTGCAAGTTTGTTTGTTTATTTGTTTGTGTGTGCGCCCGCACACCTTTAAGTCAGTGTTGACTGCTGGCAACTGTCTGAACAAGTTTCACAGTTTTCTGGGTAAGATTTTAGCAGCGGTTTGCCACCAGAGATGGGATTCTACCAGTTTGGACCAGTTCAGGGGAACTGGTAGCTCCGACTACTGGCTGGGAGTGAATCAGTTTGCTCCGACTTTCAGCTGGGCCCGCCCGCCCCTGCGCTATACTCATCTATATTGGCTTTTCTGAAGCCCAGCTGATAGGCCCGGCAGAATGGATTGCAATGCCTTAGCTGCTTTCCTCTAGAAGGTGGAATGAGGAAGGTGATTTCTCTGTAAACTGTGCATGTGCTGCGAAGCACGTGCTCAGCGAACTGATTGTTAAACCGGTAGGATCCCACCCCTGTTTGCCATTCACTGCTTCCCAGGGCTGAGAAAGAAAGATTGCCCTTAGATTACACAGCTGATTTGGTGCCTAATAACTAGAACTTACAGTCTCCCAGTTTCTAGCCCATCTCCTGGAATCCATCCTGATGATTTAATTGCTCCACCAAATTGGCTCTCATGTTTTATTGGGAACTAAGTATTCTAAATCCAAGTTGTGCAGCATCTTTGGTCCTAAAACCTCTAACATATTGGTTCTGCACCAACATTGGTGAATGGCTCCTTGTCTATAGTTGATTGGTGAACTGAAAAAAAGGCCAGTTCTTGATCAAATATTCATGGCAGGATATAGCTGATTCTATCCTTGGGAAGGACTTAGTAGGTGGCTAAAAATGCAAAATTCAGGATAAACATCTGGCTGGTTTTTTTATTTATTTGATTTCTATAACTGCCCACCTCAGCAAATGACTCTTTGGGGCTCACAATTCAAAACACATATTACAATTAAAACATTTGAAAGCAATAAAAACAGCAAAAAGTATTAAAACAATAAAAATGTTGATTGTGTGATCATCATCAACAACAATAATAATAAGGCAACTTTTCAGGTATCAAAGAATTCCCCTTATATTAACTTATGGATTTTTTTGAGCCTATGTTTTTTTTCCCAACTGAGGAGTTCTTTATAACTGGGTTTAAGGACAAAGATACATCTTTTGACATCACTTGAATAAATAATTTGGCCTGAGAAAACTGAATTTGTAAGAGTGGTTACTTTTTCCAGTGGAAGAATACAAGCTCACTGGCATTGGGAGTTTTCTGTTAGAAAAATCCCAACACAAACAAAACCGATGGGCTTCAATATTATTTTAAATTAATTCTTCCAGTTAAATATAGTCAAATCACGTCAGCACTCATCTCAGACTATTAAAGACAATTAAAAAGAGCTTAAAAAACAAAATCACAAGTACATTGCAGTACCTTCATTGTAACTGTTATAACCATAACTGTGAAGACCAGAGTACCAAAGGTCCAATTTCCAAACATCTAAAAAGGAAAACAAGAAATTTAATTAGATGGAAGATACTTAAGAGGCAACACCACCGTTATGTCCTTGTTAGTTTACTATATAATTTTTCAGCTCTCGTCTCTAAAGAATCAGGATTATTTTGAACCTAATTTTAGAGTACCGGTTATCCAGTTTCCTCTCACTCGCAAAAATATGATATTTCTTTTACCCGTCTCATGAAAAATCTAGACTTGTGCGCTTATTTTTTGAAAGAGCTAGATTGTGTTAAATATTTTTTCTCAATTCATGAGCTATTTCTAATTAATAGGTTATTAAAACGCAGTTCATCTGCTTGTTTGTGTTGCAATGCCATAGGAAGCCTTAACTTGGTAAATATAAATTCGTACAGAAAAAAATCTAGCCTAAGTATGGTTGTGGAGCAAAGAGCATCATCCTCTGACTGTATCACATTCACTTATTCCACTACATTCAAAAGAAGACATTTGAAAACTGAAATTATTCCAGAGCCGGAAAAGGGAATTTGGTACACAGCTCAACAGGGAGGTCATCCAAGATTCCCTGCAAAAGAGCACAGCCCACCGCTTAAGGAAGAAGCAAATTCCATAATCAATTGCAGTGCTGTCTTCTCATTTTGTACCTACTAACAGCATGATTTTTAATTCTCCTTTTCTTGGATTGCTATCTGCAAGGTAAAGGCTCCCCTTGCACATATGTGCTAGTCGTTCCCAACTCTAGGGGGCGGTGCTCATCTCCGTTTCAGAGCCGAGGAGCCAGCACTGTCCGAAGATGTTCTCCATGGTCATGTGGCCGGCATGATTAAACGCCGAAGGCTCGCGGAATCCTGTTACCTTCCCACCAAAGGTGGTTCCTATTTTCCTATTTGCATTTTTACATGCTTTCAAATTGCTAGGTTGGCAGAAGTAACGGGAGCTCACTCTATTATGTGGCACTAGGGATTTGAACTGTCAAACTGCCAATCTTTCTGATTGACAAGCTCTGATTGACAAGCTCATTAGCCACTGAGCCACCATGTCCCTACTTGCTATCTGTAACCAGGTGACTGAAAATCCTGAGAAAAATCTGGGCTTGGTGAAAAGCTGAGGATGCAAGTCCCCTTCACCTAAAGATGGTTTGTCTACTAACAGCTTTCTTTAAGCTGGCAGAAAGCAATTACTATTAATTAGTAGGTTTTTGCCATGGAGTCTGTTAGAGATGGAAAAGAAGAGGATTTTGGTAAACACCCCAAACCGCCTACAGTTTGCGTTAAGGATTGTTTGTAGAAAGGCAGGGGGTGGGGAGACCGAAGACAAAAAAGCATGTAACTTGGCAACATTTCACTAATGCACAAGAGCCTTTCCTTGAACACAACTAGTTGTCCACATAGAATGAGAAGGATGGGAAAAGCTTTTCCAATCAGTTTCTTTTAATGTGTTCAAGGAGAATGAGCGATGCATTCTTGAATACGACTACAAAGGTACTGCATTTAGCATCTGCATGTCTTTTATCCTACAACATAAAATCTTACCATTTGCCTCTTAGGTTTGAATACCTGGCAACATGCACAGCATGAAAAAAAGGGGCAGGTTAGAAGGAAGCTAAAAGTGAAACAGTGCAAAGCTAAATCAACCTCTCAGAATTCACATGTAACAATGTGGATTCTTTCTTCCTGCATGCCAGCTATACTGAAATTAAGAATTCACCCCGGTGTAGTTTTATATTCCAGCTAAAAATAGCAGACAGTGGTTAGGCTATCCCAGATTCCTGACAAGCCCACAGAATGATTCAGAAACCAAGTTCACCCACGGTATGTTAGATAGTTGTGTAATGGAAACAAATAAGGCAGTTGAGGGAAATCTGGGACAGAGCTTTTTGCTCAGCTCTGTTCATTTTCAAAGATGCTTATTCAGAAACAGAATAACAGAGTTGGAAGGTCTTCTAGTCCAACCCCCTGCTTAGGCAGGAAACCCTACAGTACCATTTCAGACAAATGGTTACCCAATTAAAAATTTCCAGTGTTGGAGCATTTACAACTTCTGGAGGCAAGCTGTTCCACTGATTAATTGTTCTAACTGTCAGGAAATTGCTCCTTAGTTCTAAGTTGCTTCTCTCCTTGATTAGTTTCCACCCATTGCTTCTTGTCCTACCCTCAGATGCTTTGGAGAATAGCTTGACTCCCTCGGAAAAAATAAATAAAAACTAGGGAAATATAAATAAAAACTAGGGAAATATAAATAAAAACTAGGGAAATA